TTTCATCCTTTCCTATCCCATCTGTTCCCTCCTTCCTAGTTCCCCTTTCTTTCACGGGCCCCTCTTCTATCCCCGTCCTCGCGGCCACAGCTGGCAAGCGAGAAGTTATCGCCCCTCGTAAAGGGCCGCAGCAAGGCGATGCGTTGCGGAGCAGTCTGGACGGAGCAGTCTGCGGCCGAGAAGGGATACTAGGTATCAGACATGTGCTGCAGTTTGTGTGGTGAAGCTATTGACTCACTCGAGGACCGCCTGTATTGCTGCACCGCTTGCCAGGAGGAGCGTGGGGAGATTTGTGCGAAGCTCAAAGATAAACGCCCCGACTCGCCCACGATCGACTTCCAGGATCCAGAGGCCAGGTTTTTGTTTCGCTGAGGAGTTTTCGAGCGCCGCGGAGATATCCCTCCTCGTCCGCTGAACGAGGGAGGCTTCATCGTAGAAGGGCCAGGACGTGAGGATCAGAGCGAAGAGTTGGAGATCCAACGTGCTTTCTTTTTTTTGGGGGGGGGGAGGCGGCTGTTGTTTTAAGCAAGTGGCTCCCAAGCTGTCCAGGGGGGATGGGGTTTTGTAGTTCGCAATCCTGGCAAAGAAGCGATTTGTTTTTCCGACGCTCCTGTTTGGGCCTTGGACCCTCGAAATCCCCAGGTAGCCGAGTTTTTGGCCATTTCAGCGGCGGGTGAGTTTGCGATCCCGAGTCTAGGGGCTACTCGGACTGTCTCAGCGTGGTGAGACACTTGAACATGTCTGTCAAGGAGCAACTCTCGTATGACAAGATCTTGCAGTGGGGCTGTTGTTACTGTTCGGCCCGTGGGCCTAACCTCATTAGTCGAAGTTAAAAGGCCACGTGGTTGAGGGTGACAGTTTAACTACTGTTGCCGACCATCTGACTAACGCGGTGGTGGATCGTCACCCAGAGCCGACAGATGAGCAGAGGGAACGACTAACCAATAGTCTAATAGTATTGTGGCGTCAGGGCTTGCATGTACTCTCGCTGGTAAGGTGTTCCCGCTTTGGCCGCGCCTGGATTCCAGCGATGCTGAACTCTCTCAGCAAGAAGTCTGTGGTTCCACTCATGTTGGAAACGGATTTGGCAGGGTCGGTTCTGGCAGTGTGAGCGTTGTCTCCGTGGGTAATGGGCCGACCGAAAGCCTGTCCCAGGTTGTTGCCACGGCGGTCCTGGGGTCGGGATCCAAGGGTTCGACGCTCCCCGCTTTACGGTGCTCGGTCATTCTATGATCTTCCTGAATTGCTCGGGTCGTTCGTTTATTTTTGGTTGCCGCCGTTGCAAATATCATGCCAGTGGCGGGCAAATGCGAGGTCTCCGCCACGAGTGCCGCCCTCTACCCCCGAATGGGGCCCAGGGGAGGCGACGTTCCTGGAATCGCATAGCCCAGAGTGGACATCCCAAGCTTGACGGTGTTACAGTCGGCGTCGGGCCTTGGTCGGAATCCCTTGAGGGCTAGTCGGAGTTGTTTCTCTTTTTCCTCATTTTTTTCTGTCTGTGTTTCCCCCATGTCGTCCATGTTAAAAATCCTCCTCCTCTCTCGTCCTCTTCCCTCCTCCTCAACCTCCCGCCTCCTCCGTCCGCGTCCCTTCTCCTCTTCCCTCCTCCTCCTCCTCCTCCTCCTCCTCCTCCTCCTCGTCCTCTTCGTCCTCCTTGTCCTCCTCCTCCTCATTCGTCCTCCTCCTTCTCCTCCGTACTCCTTCCTTCTCTCTCCTCCGCCTCCCCCCCTCCCCCCAAGCAGCTGGCGTCCACGGAGGCGCCCAAACATCCCCCCCCCCGCCATCCTTCTTCATCCTTGCGCGCAATTGTACCCAGTCGCGGCGGAGGGAGCCAGCGTCGTCGTGGGTCGATGAGGCGATGCGCCCTCCCTCTGTCTCCAACCCGCTGCCGGGAAAGACTAGGCGGGATGACAATATGAAACGGGATGTCAAGAATGGGGGGGGATGGCAAGGAGGGGATGAGGAGGATACCTCCTTCTCGGGAGCATTGTTGGTCAGCGCTCTCCCGTGCAATGCGGGGAAGGAGAAGGTGGAACGGGGAGAGGAGTGGACCGGAAGAGGATGCGGAGGAAGGGTCGGTGAAGGAGGAGGAAGAGCTCTCACGCCAACTACATACACACCCACATATAAATGTATCACATTTTATTTCCCACACACACACACACACCGACAGATCGGCGCAGGCGCCTGCATCTCAACGTGTGCCCGCATACCCCACAAGCCACCATTCGTGTGAGCATGAGTTTTCCTTTTCCCAGCCGTCCTGTTGGGTTGGGTCCTCGTTCTGAAGAGGCAGCGCCCTGCGTTCCTTCCTTCCTCCTCCCCCTCCTCCCGCATCCCATCCCTGCTTCTGCCGTTTCGGCACACACCTCACACGTTTCGTAGCCCCGTAGGGCCCCAGTGGCAGGGCCCGCATGCCGCCACCTCGCCATGTCCGTACACCTCGCACACGTTTTGTGGCCCCATAGGGAGCTCCACCGAAGGCCCCAGTGCCACGGCCCGCATGCCGCCACCTCGCTATTTTGGCATACGCTTCACGCGTTTCGTAGCCCTGTAGGGAGCTCCACAAAAGGCCCAAGTGGCAGGGCCCGCATGCCGCCACCTCGCCATGCCGGTACATCCCTCACACGTTTTGTGGCCCAATAGGGGGCTTCACCGAAGGCCCCAGTGGCAGGGCCCGCATGCCGCCACCTCGCCATTTCGGCACACACCTCACACGTTTCGTGGCCCCATAGGGAGCTCCACCGAATGCCCCGGTGACAGGGCCCGCATGCCGCCACCTCGCCATTTCGGCACACACCTCACACGTTTCGTAGCCCCGTAGCCGTAGGGAGCTCCACCGAAGGCCCCAGTGCCAGGGCCCGCATGCCGCCACCTCGCCATGTCGGCACACCCGTCACACGTTTCGTGACCCCATAAGGATCTCCACCGACAGTCCCAGTGGAAAAGGTCGCCTGCCGCCGACGGGTCACTTTGGTACACCCCTCAAACGTTTCGACGCCGCATATGAGGATCCACCGAAGATGGTATTTACAACTGCGGTACGTATCACTGCTTATGGTTGGGTCCTTCGCCAGGCTCTTTCTTTTGGGGTGATGGCAAGTCTAGACACTTTGTGTATCCAGCCATCAAGCCTTCGCGGAGGTTTCATTCTTCGAGCCTTTGGGAAGCCTCTGGAGGCCTCTTTTGAAGGCCCGTTGGAGCCTTACTGGCGCCATGTTGTAAACCGTGTGGGCCCTCTTGGTGTTCTTCTGGTACTTCTTAGGGATCTGTATCTGTGATATCTTAACGTTTATTGGGCCATCTTGGACGCGTAGGACTAGTCGTAGAGTAGAAGTAGTAGTCGTAGTCTTAGTCGTAGTCGTAGTCGTAGTCGTAGTAGTATTAGTAGTAGTAGTAGTAGTAGTAGTAGTAGTAGTAGTAGTAGTAGTAGTAGTAGTAGTAGTAGTAGTAGTAGTAGTAGTAGTAGTAGTAGTAGTAGTAGTAGTAGTAGTAGTAGTAGTAGTAGTAGTAGTAGTAGTAGTAGTAGTAGTAGTAGTAGTAGTAGTAGTAGTAGTAGTAGTAGTAGTAGTAGTAGTAGTAGTGGTAGTGGTACAGTAGTAGTAGTGGTCGTAGTAGTCGTAGTCGTAGGTCCGGCGTCGATGACGGGGTCCGGGGGCATTGGGGGGCCAAGATCCTTTCATCTCTAATTGTTCTATCCTGGTCCTCTTCCTGGCCACTATGGGGGCCAGGACGAAGTGGAAATGAGCACAATTAGAAATGAGCACGATTAGAAATGAACGACGTGTGCGGAGAGAACGTGCGCAAAGACCGACAGCAGTCCCTGTTCATTTTGAACAGGACTTGCTGTCCGCGCGGCCGCGGACGTTGTCCGTTTAAGACAAACAAGCCGCCCGCACAACAGCGGCCGCTGTCGGTTGTGGACAACATGTGTTGTCGGTCATCGTACCCATTGTTTTCGTACCCGTTTCGGGCGTCCAAAAGGTATGCACGCCAGTCGTTGAAAGCATGTGTTTGGGAGATTAATATCGCATTCTGCTTCAAGCGCCTTCCTACTTCAAGAGTCGAGTGGTTGTCCCTGTTCCCTCCTCTTCAATGAGGCGGGCGGAAGCTTACTACTTTCAACGCCTTCCTACTTCATGTTTCTACTCTCTTCATCCGGCCGACGGATAACGAGCACTCGTTTCTGCATGTCCTCTTACTGTTGTGGGTCTCTTGCGGTTGCTTGGGGTGGTGGGCCTGGCCACCGATTTTACTGGTAGGGACGAGGTTCCGACCGCCTCTGAAGATCACGCAGCAAAGCATGGGGTCTGCTCTGTATATGGAAAAATGTAACGAAGACTCGTGCCACGTCACGTTCATGTGGTATGGACGGGGACTTTGGCTCGGCGTGTCGTCCCGGTGGCCCTGGCGACACGCGATGCTCTGCGAGTGGATGGCGTGTCACTCCGCTCCGCGGGACAGGAGGCTCGCAAAGGCTCGGGACGTTGAAGCGTGGGGACTGGGAAGTGGATAGCGTGTCGCGCCGAAGCGTGGTGGGCCAGAACCGGCGGCGCGACGCGCTATCCCATTGTTCCCGACCGTAATGGTCCCCCCCTGATCAGCGTTGGCGGTGGATCTGGTGACTTGCAGTTCGCCACTGGCTTCCCCTCACGTGCCAACCTTATGGTTTTGGGGAGGAGGAGGAGGAGGAGGAGGAGGAGGAGGACGAGGAGGAGGAGGAGGAGGAGGAGGAGGAGGAGGAGGGAGCTCCCTGAATCGCTTCTGCCTTCCGCATCCCCCCTCGACCGCGCGGCCGCATCCGTCCGCGCGCCTCGTGGGTGGCGCGTGGGCGGCGGGGTGGACCCAGAGCCGTCACGGCTGCGCCCTGGCCCGCCTGTTCTGCCGAGCCTGCGGAGGCTCTGCCATCCCCGAAATCCCGAACATCCCTCCTCCGCCTCCGCCTCCTCCTCCTCCTCCCATTCGCTGCTGACTACTCCCTCCTGCCCCTTCCCTTCCTCCCTCCTCCTTCCCGGCTCCCTCCCACCTCCTCCCTCTTGCTCCGCGCGCCTTGATGAGCGTGGGTGCGCCGCGGGCTCCAGGCAAGCAAGCCAGGCACGGTTTCTGGAGGGGAGGCGCGCGACCGCGGGAGGAGGCGGCCTGGTCGCGGGGGCGAGGAATACGTGCGCTGCCGCTCCTCGTGCTCCAGCTGCTGCTGTTGCTGCGGCTGCTCCTCTCCCTCCTCCTCCTCCTCCTCCTCCTCCTCCTCCTCCGCCTCCTCCTCTTCCTCCTCCTCATCATCATCAGCAGCAGCAGCAGCATTATCATCATTCTACTAACAACTCCTCCTCCTCCTCCTCCTCCTCCTGCTCCTTCCTCCTTCATCCTCCTCCTTCTCATGCTCGCTCCTCCGTTTCCTCGTCCTGCCCCTGGTCCCCCTCCTTCTCCTGGGCGCAGCCTGGGGCGCTACAGGGTCTATAGCACTCCAGCACCGAAAGGCAGCGTAGCTAAGGGCGCACCTTGCAACCGCCAGTAGCCACGCTCAGATAGACCTTGCCACAGAGACGAAATTCACGCTTGCACGCCACTCGTTGGATTTGGATCACCTCCCGAGCCCAACCGGAAACCCGAGGAGGGCCCGGGCTCGCAAGGCTCGTGAGCCGAGCGGCGGCGAAACAAGCACAGCGAGAGCATCCGACCAGGACAGGGGTCATCCTGTAATCGGAGCCCGACGGGGGCGTGCAACTCGGAGCCTGCACCCAGCACGGCCTGCGCAGCCGGCACCCTGCTCACGACGGCGCAGGGAGTGGGGCCACGAGCAAGGACAAGCTGGGTCTCAGGGGGGAGCTTCCTGCGGGCGTGCGTCTTGGGGTGCCCACAGTCGGTGAGCTCTTCCCCGAGACGCCCAATCCAGGAGCCCCATACCCAGAGGACCTTGTGACGAGCCTGCAACGGAGCGATGGCGGCTTCACTGACACGCGCCAAAGCAGCAGCACTCTTGGCAGCTTCATCGGCCTCACAGGGTGCTCATGTCTAAGTCGGCGTAATTGCAATTCCAGCCTGGGGCCTTGAGCTGGTCTCAGCTGTAACTCGTCGGAGGCATTCGGATGGAGCAGTGCTCAAAGGCTGAACTCCTTGATTCTGGCTCTCAAGCAGACCCGCGGGTGATGCGATGGGCAGGAGGACGACGACAGCGACGCCGACGATGATGATGGCCCAACGCTCGTCGCCCGTCGCAGACTATATCACCAGGGGCAAGCCCCGGTCGGCTCTCCCGTTCCTGCGTCGCCGGCCCGGTCGTCGGAGGGGCGCCCCTGGCATCACTCAGGAGGGAACAAAAACACACAGACACAATGAATCGTCGATTCCCCAGAAACTATGGGAAAGTGTGGGAAGTGGGGGGGAAGACAAAAACCCAGAAAGTATGCGAAAATGTAGGAAATTCTGTTATTTGTGTCTATTTATCTGTGTGTCCCAGGGCTCCCAGGGCCCCTTCAATCACCACTTGGTGCCTCCGTCGACGGGCGGCTCGTCGGGCCAGGGGCCCTCGGGGGGGGGGGGGGAGCAGGGGAGAGCCTCGGGGGCCTCTCTGCGAAGGCTGGGGGGGGAAGCAGATCTTGATCCGAGCCCGGATCGCGGCAGCAGATGCTGATGCGGGGGCGGAAATTCGTTCTGTTATTCCGGACCAGCAGGTGTTGAACACTTCAGGCCTGCCAGGTTTCCATGTCATTCTTGCGTTCTGCTTCACACTGCCTGTTGAATCATCGTGTGCGCTCCCATCTTCTCCCTCAAAAAAAAAGATTCAGATGCGGGGGCCGATCGCGGCATCAGGTTCTGGTGCGGGGGCCGCGGGGGGCATCAGGTTTTGATGCGGGGGCGTCTGGCCGCGTCTCTCCGCGCGCCCTTGGGGGCGCTCGCTCTGCTTGCGCAATGTGTGTATATATACACATATACATACAACTATCAAGCGAAATACGCAGCAAACAAGCGAGCAGGGCTTAAGCATCTCTCATTTGCAATTCGCAGGAGGAGTTAGACTTGAGCGGAATTACAATTGAGCGGAATTAGAAGTAAGTGCTCTGTAGCATTACCATACAGGTGGCGTGCTGTGCTACGCCCCATCTCAACGCCAACAACTTTCGCATGCCCTTTGATTTTAAACAACTTCGAATCCCCCGCCCCAGTCCTCCACCAACCGCCAACTCCTTCCACCGATGAGCGTGAGCAGAGGTGCAGGAGGTGGTGTCTTCTCGCCCACGTTCCGAGAAGCCGTCTGCCACGAACGCAGAGTCAGTGAAAGCTCAGGCTGGTGGGGTCGCGAAGCGTAAGACCTGAATGGCAGCAGCGAGCTCAGCAGCACTGATGCACTTCAAGGGGTCCAGCAGCGGCCCTGAGCAGAATGACAAACTCTCCCTTTTCTGAGGTTTTCTGAGTGTTGGGGCTTGCTGCCTCCTCTGGGCCAGATTGGGATGAATCTTACGCGCAGCCTAATATCTTCCCATGCCTTTCCTCCTCCTCCAGGTTTCGCGCGCCTGGTGAGGAACCAAACTGGTTTCAAATGCAACCACGTTGCCGATGCCCGTTTGCCGTGGTCTCACCGCGTCACGCTTTGAACGCTTTCGAAGTGACCTGCGTCCGTGTTGCGACGATGGCTGTTGAATTCGCACCGACAGGCCTAACAATGAATAATAATGACGAACTCTCCTGGTTGTCTGAGTGAAGCACAACGCATCCCCATCCAGCACTAGCCAGACTAGGATATTCCGCCTCAAATGCAGGACGTCAGTGTAGATTTAAGTCGGGCCTGTCCCTCTACAGGAGGAAACGCAAGCATAGTCAAAAGTAGTACGGGGACGATTTTTGAATGTTTGTTTGGGGTATTTTAGGGATATGTTTGGGGTATGTTTTATCTTTCGTCCAAAATCCGCCTGTCGGGGGACATGCCCGACCTAAGTGTAGACGTCACCGCTGAACTCTGAAGGGCCTCCCAACCCCCAGCAGACTGGAGGCCCTGGGGGCGGCCGACCCAGAGCAGGGAAGGGAATCGGGCAACTTTCGGCAACAACAGTTGCTAACACAGAGTTGGCAGCAACGGCCGCAACACTGGCACGAACAGGCGGCGCATCCTCCATGGTGTCGAGCCTGGAGCAGGAACAACGCCTGCGAAGCAGCGTGCCTTCAGCGGTGGGGCATAACAATCAGGACGGCGTGGTGAAATAACTCGTTGCCCACTGCCTCTTCTGAGGCCTCTGGCCTCCCACGATGGTGCTCCCGAGGTGGGCCTGCTGCACAGCGATGAACTTACGCTTGCTTCCCGGCAAGCCCTTCTGGTGGCTGCGGAGCAAACCATTGGAGAACTCGGGAGCCTCGAGATGCTCAGCCACTCTGTCATGCTGCCAAACCTCGACGGTCCTGTACACAAGCTCTTGGATGATGACGGGTCAGAAGTCGGACGGGTTGACGTCAGCCCCATCGGGCCAGTTCCAAGAGGTAGCGAAGGTTGCCGTGATACCCGCGCGCCTGAGAGGCCCACAGGGCGCAGACGGGACCTCTGATGGAGGACCAGGGGTGCTCTAACTTTTTGAAATGTCTATGAGCTTCACGCAGACCTAAATCGAGAGCTTCAGGGGGGAGGGGGGCGGTGCCAGAGAGCGTGCAGGAAGGCCTTAACGGGCAACCAAGTGGCCCTGTAAAATGGGCCCAGACGGGGCACAGAGGAGAGGAGGAGAGACAGGGTCCTCGACTTGCCATCTTGATGATGCTCCTGAAGCTTGCCCGCAGCACCTCTAAGAACCTCCAGCTCCTTACCATCAGCAGCCATAATAGAAGCCCTAAAAAGTACTTGCGCCTCCAACGCAGATCGAGCCATGCGTCCAAGCACGCGGCGACGAGGTTCAGACCCTTTTAAGCATGCTCATGCGCACCCTGCGCGGCCGCATGTTATCAGCGCGCCCCCTGGCAGCGCCCCTACTGGCCACCGAGCCAGCCCCAAAATCAACCCCGAGGTTCCGCTCAGACCGAACAGGCAGGGGCTGGGGGCTCTTTAGCTTAGCGGCGATGGCATTGCGCACAGACTGTGCGTTGCCGAGGACTCGAGACTTGTCGGGCAACGCGTAGATCGACTCGCCGCAGACGCCGGGCCAGGAGCTTTCCCGCAGCCGCGATGCGGTCAACGACCCTGGCTTCGGTGCCCCAGCGAGTGAGGCCGAAGTCGTCAGCGTTGCAGGACACCTGGACGGTGAGCCGCTCGGCCTGCGCAGCGTCAACAGGACCTGAAATAATCAGCTGCGTCGCGCAAGTATTAAAACATGCAATGAACACATATATATATATATGTACACATATAGTTGTTTATGTCTCATATATACATATAAACATATATATATGAATATATGAATATATGAATATATGAATATATGAATATATACATGCATATATATATATATATAAACGCTGCGTCGCGCACGTGGCAAACGTGCACCCTGGCACAACTGTCTGTTCAACCGAAAGCAGAGAACCAATTTTGCCTCCGACATCGATGACTCTCGGCGCCCGGCAGATCTGCACAAGGAGGTGCTATTGCCACGTGGGGAAGCCCGAGGCCGCGGCAGCTGCGATCAAGTGGTAATGCTGCACCAGCTCGAAAGCTTTCTTGAGGTCGCGAAGGAGGGTAGCACGCGCCCTATTCCTATACGCGGAGTGCTCGGACCAGGCCGCTTGGATCCACGCGCACTTTTCCGACGACTCACCGTGGGTGGACCGAGAGAAACACCCGACACCTGGCAGACTGCCAACCGCGGATGAGAGGACGTCTCAAGCGACGCTGCACCCGGGCGGGGATGCGCAGGAGCCCCGACGGACGCCCGCCCCCCGTGCGTTTCAGGATGAAGACGATGCGATTCCACTCGGTCGGCCACTCGCGCTTGTGCTCAATGTGGTGGGTGATGGCACGAAGAGCCTCCCGCGCCGTGGGCGGCAGCAACAAGAGCGATCGCGGCGAAACTTGGTCAAAACCCGCGTCAGACGAAGGCTTGGAACTCCAGGGAGCTTTAACGAGCTCGGCCACTTGGGGCCTGGGCGGGGGCTCGCCAAGCTCAGGCCAACGGAGGCGCTCGTGCTCGATCCCGACCTGCCACCGCCGCTTCCGCTCGCCCTCCAACGAATCGGTCGACCTGGGCGAGGCACGAAAGCGAAGGGTGCCCGGGTGGGCGGAGTCGGGCTGCCACGGGGTGGGGAGGGAAGAGAACTTGTAGAGGGGCCGACGTCCCCCCCGTGGCGCGCGGTTGCCCAACCCACTTCCCCCCCATCCGCGCTCCCTGGCCCGAGCGCAGAGGTGGCGCCGCCTCTGCGCCCCGTCGCCCGCGAAGCTGGCGAGCACAGAGGGCGGGCGGGGGGAGGCGTGACACGTGCCCGCCGAAGCGGCGCCGCCCACGCGGCAAGCTCGGCCGCGCAGCCGGCTAGCGGGGACCTGAATGAGCCTGTCGGCTCTGGATTGAGAATCTTGGAGCAAGCGCTGTCTGGGCCCTGCGCCGCCAGCAGGCCACGGGGGGAAGCTCGGGGAGCCTGGGCGGGGCAGGAGAGGAAGGGGTCTTCCAGCGAACCTGAAGGGGCATATGCAAATCCCCGTCAATCTACTCCGCGTCGTGAATTTCTTGGTGTGTAAAAAGTATTTATGTATTTGTTTGTTTATTTCTTTATGTATGTATTTATTTACGTACTTACTTATTTATGTGTTCATTTATTCATTTGTCTATTCTTATGTATCCTTTCATTTATTTATTTATATATATACAACTATAAACCTGAGACGCGCGAAGCCACTTGGCCTCGGCCGCCCGGAGGGGGGCCTCCCACTTGTCTTGATGCAGGAAGCCAGGGGCCGGCGCGCATCTGGCCGACGTGATCCCGAGGACATCGGCGACGCGGGGGGGCCCGACACAGCCGACCGGGGGCCCGGGCAGGACACCTCCTGGGCACATGATGCTCCAACCTACTTTAGCCTTGATCGCCAGAAAGAATTTCGAGCGCCAGAGAAAGTACCGAAACTCAAGGGTTTTCACGTGTCGGGCCCTGGGAGACACTCGCCCGACACTGTTTCGACACTCTTTTGACACTTCTCCGGGTGCTCGATCTGATTTCTGGGATGTGGTCCTTAAGCAGGATGGGAACAACATGATCCTGGGCACCTGGACGTACCTGACCTTGCACAGGGGCTCCACGGAGGGAAGGGGGAGCCTGACGGGAAGAGGCGGAGGGATGGAGATATTCTGAACCATTTCGGCCCTGGCAGCACCTGCAATCTGGCGCGACACAGCGAAGTAGTCCGTGCACCTCATGGCGGGCCTGCACGCGCTGTGCTCGGGCGCGACGATGACGGCATCCATCGCATCGCGGCGGCCTCGACCGACAGAGCAGGCGACGGCGAAGGATACTGCAGGCGACGTCCATGTCAGTGTCGTCGTCGGCACTGGCGCACTCGGAGCCATCGGACACATCTGCGGGCACGAGCATACCATCGCGAGCAGCCAGAAGCGAACGTAGCGAGGCCGCCAGCTTGCCATCATGAGATCCGAACTGCACAAGGAGCGCGAAAGCAGGATCATCAGGAGACACGTCGCCGCTGCCACCACGCTGACTGCCCGCGTGGCCGCCGACCACGGAGGAGCTAACAGCGGCCCACGCCGCCGTGGCCTTGGCAGAACAGAGGCGTTTATTCTCCTGCAACTGCTCTAACTTACCCTTGGGAGCGACCAGCTCCTTGAACTTATCTTGCACCTCTTTCTCGAGCTTGTTGGCCTTCTGCTCCGACTGACGCACCTGCCGCATAGCCTCATCGTAGGCCTGCTGATAGTGTTTGCCAACTGCCTTTGGGTCGCCGGCAGCAAGCGCGCGCTGAGCCTTCACACGCGCACGCTGGGCTAAGCAAGGACTTACTGGTCTCGGAGTCAGCATCGGACATCTTGATGAACACTGCAAGCTGAGTGGGGTCAAGCCTCTGAGGCTTCGTCTTGGCCTTGGGCGGTCCATTGGCCCACTCTCCCTGGGCGGCTTTGCAGGAAGAGAAGCTGGAACCACAGGACGTTCAGCATCAAACTTGTAGCAATGTTTCTTCCATGAGACATTCGTTTTGAAACCGCACCTCTTTTTGGGACATCACCAGGCATCGCTCCGACTGAGGCTGCCCATGGGAGTGCGACTGAATACTGGAGGAAGGAGATGTGCTCCACCAGGAGTTCACGCAATGAGTATCCTCGTCTGACCTGGCAGAGGAGGGATGCTGTCGGATGCCGTCTTCCCCCCCACGCCAAAAAGGTCAGGTCCTGAGCCGAACTGCTACGGACTTGAGCCAACATGGCTATGGATCCTCCTCCTCCTCCTCCTCCTCCTCCTCCTCCTCCCTTAGCCACCCTCTTAGCCAAGTGATTGTCCTCCTCCTCCTCTTCCTCCTCCTCCTCCTCCTCCTCCTCCTCCTCCTCCCCCTCCTGCCTTCTTTCCCTCCTGCCTTCTCGCCCTCCTCCTCCTCCTCCTCCTTCTCCTGCCTTCTCGCCCTCCTCCTCCTCCTCCTCCTCCTCCCCTTCCCCCTCTCCGTCTCTCTCCTTTGCCCAGGCTGGGAGGGGGGGGACATGGGGAGGGGGAGGGATCTCCTAGCTGCACGTCTTCCTCGGTCCTGCGGTCCGGGCGCGGAGACGCAGCGATGGCCGAGCGCTACCTCATCACCAGGGACGCCGTGCCCGAGGGCGCGGCGGTGCCCGAAATGGTGAAGATGAAGCTCGAGCGCAACGCCGCGCTCGCGGAGGAGAAGCAGAAGGCCGTCGCCGCGGAGGAGAAGGAGGAGGGGGTGGAGGAGGAGGAGGAGGAGGAGGCGAGGGAGCAGGAGGAGGAGGAGGAAGGAGGAGGAGGAGGGGGAGGAGGAGGAGGAGAGGAGGAGAGGGAGGAGAAGGAGGAAGAGAGGAGAGAGGAGGAGAGGAGGAGGAGGAGGAGGAGGAGGAGAGGAGGAGGAGAGGAGGGAGGAGGAGGAGGAGGAGGAGGAGGCGGAGGAGGAGAGGAGGAGGAGGAGGAGGAGGAGGAGAGAGAGGAGGATGAGAATGAGGATGAGGATGATGAGGAGGAAAATAACGAGTAGGATGATGATGATGCTGATGATGCTGATGATGCTGATGCTGATGCTGATGCTGATGCTGCTGATGCTGATGCTGATGCTGATGCTGATGCTGATGCTGCTGGTGGTGATGCTGATGACGATGATGCTGATCATGGTGATCTATGATGATGATGATGCAGCTGATGATGCTGATGCTGATGCTGATGCTGCTGCTGCTGATGATGATGCTGCTGATGATGATTAGGGGGAGGAGGCGGAGGAGGAGGAGGAGGTTGATGAGGAGGAGGGGGAGGAAAGGAGGAGGATGATGAGAAGGAGGAGGAGGGGGAGAAAAGGAGGAGGAGGCTGAGGGGCCGGATGAAGAATATGATTCGGGGAGGGATTGACGAGGAAAGAAGGGGAGAAGGAACAGGAGGGCGGAGGAAGAGGAAGAGGCGGAGGGGGTAATGAGGAGGAGGGTGAGCAGGAGGATAAGGAAGAGGATCGTCACAAGAGGGGGATGGAAGTTCGAAGAGAAGCAGTCATGGACGAGGGGATGAGAAGGATGCAGGTATTATGCAGGGATGCACTGGGAGGCGGAGGTGGACGATGGCGAGGAGCAAGTGCCGTCGGATGACGCCGCTGCTGCTGCTGCTGATGATGTTCATGATTATGCTGCTGCTGAGACGATGGATATGATTGTGATGATGATGGTGGTGGTGATGATGCTGATGATGATGGTGATGATGATGGTGGTGATGCTCATGGTGATGATGATGATGCTGATGATGATGCTTGTGATGATGATAGTGATGGTGCTGATGCTGATGATGATGGTGATGATGGTGATGATCTTGATGATGGTGATGATGACGACGATGATGAGGATTATGATGCTGATGATGATGCTGCTGCGGAATGTGCAGATCACGAGGTGGGGCGTGAAAATGTGGAGGTGGGTAGGCAGGTAGCAGGGTTGAGCAGGGACGGCGATGGCGATAATGGTGATGCAGCTGACGATGACGATGATGCTGACGATGATGATGTTGCTGATGATGATGTTGATGATGATGCTGGTGATGATGACGATGACGATGACGATGGTAGTGATGATGCTGGTGATGATGATTCTGATGATGGCGATGATGGTGGTCGTGAATGTGATGACTGCTTTGGTGACGATGATGGTAGTGAGGACGATGGCGGTGGCAAGTAGGTTGATGCTTTTGCTGCTGTCGATTGTGATGGTGATGGTGTTAATGATGATGCTGACGACGACGATGATGATGGTGCTTATGATGATGATGCTGATGATGACGAGGTTGATGATGGTGATTGTTTTGCTGCTGCTGCTGCTGCTGATGATGATGATGATGATGATGACGGCGGTTTTGATGGTAAGCCAATAATGTGTGACGGTGATGCTGATGGACATTGCGATGGTTGTGATGATGATTGTGAGGCTGACGATACGCCACGGTGATGACGATGACGATGATGGTGCTGGTGAGTATGACAATCTGGAGATGCAGGAATCTGATCACCATGACGATGAGGATGATGATGCTGATGATGCTGATGATGATGGTAATGCTGATGATGACGGTGGTGGAGGTGTGTACGACGATGTGGAGACGGAGGATACCGAACACGGATGTTGGTAGCTAGGTCGGTAGGCAGATATGGGTAAGGAGACGTCGGGCAGTATACGGATGATGATGATGTTGCTGCTGCTGCTGATGCTGATGATGTTGCTGATGATGATGCTGATGATGATGCTGGTGATGATGCTGATTATTATTATTATTCTTATTATTGCGATGCTGATCGCGATGGTGATAACGAGGCGGAGAAGGCGGATGGTGATGCTGATGATGTTGATGGTGATGTTGAGGCTGATGATGATGCTGCTGATGATGATGCTGCTGATGATGATGATATTAATGTTGCTCATGTGGATGATTACGTTGATGGTGGTGGTGGTGACGATGACGATGGTGGTGGTGATGATGATGCTGATGATGAGGAGAGTGGTGCTGACGTTAATTATGATGCTGATCATGATGATGATGCGGATGTTGATGCCGAAGATGCTGCTGCTGATGATGAGGATGTGGAGGATGAGGATGAGGGACTTGAGGATGCTTGCTAGGAGGTGTGTGTAACCGCATGCCGATGATAATAAAGGGACCCCCCCTTCAGTGTTTAGAGTTGATAATCGTCGCCCTATACAAAATTCAAATTGGGCGGCGAGCGCTGAGGCCGAACTTCATTATCACCTCGAAACGCTATGTTGAGATAGCAACATCAAGCGATGTTGATATAGCAGCATCAAGCGAAGCGATCACACTTTTTGAGGATGTGTCAAGCGAAACCAATAATTTTGGGAGGCAGACTCAAACGAAACGAGCAATGTTCTAAGGATGTCTCAAGGATGTTTCAAGCTAAACCAGCAAGTTTTTTCTTTTTATTTATTTTTTTTATTATCTCCCTTTTTATATATGTATGTATCCCCGCGCGCGCCTGAACTTTTTTATCTCTGGGGTTGATTATCCATGGGAAGGGGAGCACATGAGCTACCCTACATGAGCACTTACAAAATCAATGTTCATAAAGCGTTTGTAAATTAAAATTGATAGATTTGGAACTTTCCATTTTTTCCGTTCTTCTTCTCTTCTTCTTATTCTCTTCTTCTTCTCTTCTTATTATTCTTCTACTTTCCTCTTCTTCTTTTATATTTCTATCTGTCCTCACGCTCGCCCGATTTTTTTTTATCCCTGGGGTTGATTATCAATGGAAAATGAAGCACATGAGCTACCCTACACGAGCACTTTAAAACATCAATTTTCATAAAGCGTTTGTAAATTCAAATTGATAGATTTGGAACTTTGGATTTTTCCTTTCTTCGTCCTCTTCTTATTCTCCTCTTCTTCTTCTTTCTTATTATTCTTCTACTGTATTCTTCTTCTTTTACATTTCTCTCTGTCCCCACGCTCGCCTGATTTTTTTTTTATCTCTGGGGTTGATTATCCATGGAAATTGAGGCACATGAGCTACCCTACACGAGCACTTACAAAAAACATGTTCATAAAGCGCTTGTAAATAAAATCTAATAGATTTGAAACTCGAGATGTTTTCTTCTCTTCGTCCTTCTCTTCCTCCTATCATTTCTTTTATTCTATTCTTTATTATTTTCATTTTTCTTTTTTATATATAGCTTCCTCCATTCCTCCGCCCGCCTGAACTTTATTATCGCCGCCGTTGATTATCTAGGGACGCCGAGGCGGATGAGCTATTCCGAGGATGTCTCAAGCGAAACAAGCATACACTCGAGAATGTCCGAAGCGAAACAAGGATATTTCGATGAAAACTAAACGCCAAGGATGTCTCAAAACGTGCTCGGCTTGGTCTCCTCTTGATCATCTCTTACTTCGAGATTATGCTGAGGTCTGCTGGGCTACTTTTATTATCTCTCCCTGAACCCCGAACTTTATTATCCCCTAGTGTTTATTCTCACGGGCATGAGGTTATCTGTTTGTGTGCAGGTGCGTGGTACTCCGCCTCGTCGCCGCTCGAGGGGTCGCTACCGCCCACAGTGTGTGTGTGTGTTCGTGAGAGAGAGAGAGAGAGAGAGAGAGAGAGAATGGGTTGGTAGTTCGATCTGTAGGGTTGGGCGGAGGAGGTGAAGGAGGAGGAGGGGGAGGAGGAGGAGGAGGAGGAGGAGGAGGGGGAGGAGGAGGAGGAGGAGGAGGAGGAGGAGAAGGCCGCCGCCGTGAAGAAGGTCGAGAGGAGCACGCGCCGCCACGACCTGAAGATGCGCACGCTCAAGTACGAGAAGGACGGGCGACGAACGCGCGCTCTCCCGGGCATCCCTGTCTCCAGGAGGACTCCCACGATCGAAAGGACTATCAAGCCTGCTCGGATGCTGATGTGTTTTGTGTGCCAAGCGCAGGTAGCTTTCGCCCTCCAGGGGCTCTTCAGCCGAAATGGCACTGCACAGAAGCATCGGATGAAAGGTCGCTCGCATGTACAGTTTTCTAAAACAACTGTACGCGCGGGATGAGGAGGATGATGATGAGGAGGAGGCGGCGGAGGCGAATGGGGCAGGAGGCCGAGGGGGAAGCTGGCGGCCCCCTGTTTCTCCTCCTCCTCCTCCTCCTCCTCTTCCTCCTCCCTCGCTTTGGAGGGGCACCTGACCCTTCGACTGCCAGTGAGAGGAGTACGCCTCGCACACCCGCAAGCTGGTGGCCCTCCGCCGCCAGGCCAAGTCCGCCGGCAACTTCTTCGTCGAGCCCGAGGCCCAGAGGAGGATGACAACGGGGGGGTGTCACGGGCAACGATTGGGGGCGATGGGCCCAGGGGTGGAAACATCGATCCCAGATCGCCCACTCTTCGCCAGTCGGGGCCTGGCCATCCCACCCTGCCCGGGCATGTGCGGTTTCGCACGGTGGGCCCCGATCGCCGATCTGTCGGCGACGAACAGGTGCCTCCAGTCGACATCCCACCCCCACAGCCGGTGCCCCCTTGCGACCCCACTCAGGGGAGGATGGTACGGGGGCCAGGCAGACCTGGAGAAGCGTGCTCAGGACAAGGATAATTCGTGCCAGAGCGCGCCAGGGCGCCCGCGCCCCGTGCTCGAACGCTCTGCTGCGGCCGCGGCGCTCGATGTATCCTCCATCCGGATGTGCCCACGCCCGATGTTGCTTCCGCCGGAGGAGCAGGAGCAGGAGGAGGGCGATGCGGAGGGGGAGGAAGATGGCGAGGAGGATGGCGAGGAGGAGGAGGAGGAGGCGGAGGAGGAGGAGGAGGAGGAGGAGGAGGAGGAGGAGGAGGAGGAAGGCGTGGTTGAGCGGGGTGCGGGTGCGAAAGGGCAACATCCTTCGTCCCGAGGCCAAGCTGCTGTTCGTGGTGCGCATCGTTGGCATCATCAAGCTGAGCCCAAAGCCTCGGAAGGTGCTGCAGCTGCTCAGGCTGAAGCAGCTCCACAACGGCGTGTTCCTTAAGGTCAACAAGCCCATCCTTAACATGCTCAAGCTGGTGCAGCCGTACGTCACCTACGGCTACCCAACGCTGAAGACCGTCCGCGACCTGGTCTACAAGCGCGGCTTCGGCAAGGTCAACAAGCAGCGCATCCCGTTGTCGGACAACGAGATCATCTCCGGCTCCTGGAAGCCATTCTGTATAACCAGCAACCTCTTTCCCACTATCGCCTCCGTCGCCCTACACGAGGGGACGAAGGCTTGGTGGCACGGGGTATTGCGGCGACCCCAGTCCCGGACCTTGCGGGACTCTCGGCTGGGCATAACGTTCGGCGTTCAAGTCGATGATACACGCCTCGAGCGCGGCGTGTCCAGATAGCCCCCTTTGGCTGTATCCCTGGGTTTCCCCTCTGTCTAGGGTCTAGCGGTGTCTTCTCTTTCGGGGAACTCGGGGTGATCGGGGCCAGAAACCGCCAGCCATGTTGCATGGGGGACTGAGAGGAGGAGGGAGGTACGGTAGGTCGTTAGGTTCGTGTCGACGCGGCCCCCAGTGCGGGCGTTCATATTGAACGCCGCCACCGGCCCAGAATCGACCGACATCGAGCGATACGTGACATTGGCTAGCCGCATTCGTTCAAGGCGGAAGACCGCCGCGCAAATTGTCACGACACTAACCTGACGCACGGAGGGAGATAGGGAGGGAGGGAGGGAGGAGGAGGAGGAGGAGCAGGAAGAGGAGGAGGAGGAGAAGGAGGAGGAGAAGGAGGAGGAGGCGGAGCAAGAGGTTGAGGAGGGGGAGGAGGGGGACGATTAGAAGGAAGAGGGGTAGAGGGCGGAGGAAGGAGGAGGGGTAGGAGGAGGAGGAGGAGGAAGGAGAAGGAGGTGGTGGAGAACGAGAGAGGGAGAGTGGGAGGAAGCAGGGGAGAGGGGGGGCAATGGATTTGCGGGCGTAGCACGGGCTGCCCAGGCTCCCTCGGAGAGAAGGACATCCACGGCGTCGAGGACCTGATTCACGAGATTTTCACCGTCGGCCCGGCATTCAAGCAGTGCTCGAACTTCCTCTGGCCATTCAAGCTGTCGGCGCCGAAGGTCTGCAGTAGGAAAACGTAGATCGAGAGAAGGAGTCAGAAAGGGCAAGAGGGATCGAGGGAGAGAAAACAATTCTCTTTCTCTATATATATAAAGAGAGAGAGAGAGAGGGAGAAAGAGAGAGAGAGAGAGAAGAGAGAGAGAGAGAGAGAGAGAGACAGGGAGAGAAACATAAAGAGAGAGTGAGAGAAAGAGAAAGAGAGATAGAGAGAGAGAGAGAGAGCCTGTGGCGCGCTCAACGGTTCTTGGGAATTCGCCGACACGATGGTGGGATTCCGCTCAACTGTTGCATTTTTGATGATGGCGTGAAGCGGGGAAGGCTATCAATGCCACTGTGGCATGTGCTCCGACTGTAGAGCTGTAAGGGGAGACCCCGCTACGGACAATGTGCACAGACGTTCGCACTAGATGGAGCATCGTCAATGGTCTTGCCCCATGCCATATTGTAGTGGCCTCTGGCCAGTGCTGCCGATCTGGAGCTTTCCCGTAGCTGTCGAAGACTCCGGCGACGACGACGACGGCGGCGACGACGACGAATGTTGACGGAACATCGACGACCAGACGACAACGACGACGAGGACGACTCACGACGACGATAGACGGTTCACGTCGAGCGAGGACCAGACGACAACGACCGATGACGACGATGACGATGTGGAACGACGAACGACGCGGGCCGGGGCCAGGGCCGGGGCCTGGGCCTGGGCTGGGGCCCGCCGGAGCGGGGTCATAGGGCCTGGGCCGGGGCGCCGGGGCCGGGGCCAGTACTAGGGCTGGGGCCAGTGTTGGGGCTGGAGCCGGGGCTGGGGCCTGGGCTGGGTCCAGGGCAGGGGCTTGAGCCAGGGAGAAAGGTAAGCGAAGCTCGGGCCCACGCTCTCAGAAGCTCAGGCACTGAAGCGGCTGCTTCTGGCGTTGGACGGGGGAGCGTGCAGTCGACACCCCGAGAGCAGCAAAAATATGTTGTGCCCACGGGGGGGCTCTGCTTTTCTGGCCGCTTCTGAGATGCAGGTCGGGGAAGCCTGGCGTGGCCGAGGCCCGCCGTGGCCAGAAGAGCCCCTGGCGTTCGCTGTTCGCCGTCCCGCCCTTGCGCTCGCCGTCTGCGCCTCCCTCGCTGAGCTCCCGAGGGCGGGTTCGAGAAGAAGCGCCACGGCTTCTGCGAGCAGCGCGGAGGTGCCTGGGGCAACCGGGAGGACCTCATCAACGAGCTCGTGGGGCGCATGAACTGAGCGCGGAGCCCCGCACGGAGCGGGCGTCCGTGGTCTGCGCGGCCTGCACGCCACGAGATCCGACGCCGCGACAAAAATGCAACACCGTGAGGAACCACGACCAGCACCCTAAACCGACACTTTCTGCGGCATGTGGGTTGGAACTCAAAGCGTCGCATTTTGATGTTCCAACCTACTTTAGCCTTGATCACCAGAAAGAATTTCGAGCACCAAGAGAGTACGGAAACTTGAAGGTTTTCAGGTGTCGGGCCCTGGGAGGTGGCTCTCGTTCGATACTGTTTTGACACTCTTCTGGCTGCTCGAAAGTATTTCTGGTATGTGATCCTTCAGTACGATGGGAGCAACAGAAGCGTCGCACCCTATCGTGCATAGTGCATGGCAGCCCACGGACAGGGAAGACAATTCTCTTGAGGATCCGCCCCCTTCTTCCTCGCTCTGAGTGTGCCCCTGGAGCCAGGCTTCTGGTTCTCTGGTCTCCTCCTGTGCATCCTGCTCCACATTCCTACTCAGCTCAGCCAGGATCTCCCCCTCCCTCCCTCCTCCTCTCTTCTCATCTCCCCCCCTCCCTCCCTCATCCCCCTCCCCCCCTCCTCTTCCTGATCGTCGTCGTCGTCGTCCTCCTCCTCCTCCTCCTCCTCCATCGCCATTTTGGCTCAAGAAGTCCGTAGTGCTTCGCTCAGGACTTGGCGCTCTGGCAGGAGGGATCTGCGGCCCTCACCGCTCTCGCGCCTCCCCAGCGGCCTGCCCATGCTGGCGGCGCCGCTTTTTTTCACATCCACCTGCTGCGAGACTTCGATATTGCACGGCGGTAGCCGCACTTCTTTGCGCACCATTACGTCAGGCTCATGTCAGATGCCGAACTTTCGTATCGTTTGGGAGGCATCCCCGCTGTGGGCAGGCACCGCAGGAGGAGCAGGGAAGTCCGCAGTCCTTCGTCGCCGCAAGTTCGAAGACCTGCTTCGCACCGCAGGTTGAAGATGCCTGCAGTGTGGATGCGCCCGCAATGAACAGTCCTGGGGATGGTGTAAGCACTGCCACGCCACAAAGCCCCAAGAGCTAGACTGGCCTTATCCTGAGCCAGGGTGGACGTGGCCCAAGGCATGGGGCTACTCCAGCAAGTGGGACCAGCGGCCATTTGGGCTCGAGCCAGGCAACACGGCCATGGTCCCGCTGTCTGCTAGCGTTCTTCCTGCTCCTGGTCAGCGCGCTACGCCCATGGCCAGCACGTTGCTCGACGGCCTCACCGAGTCCGAGCTCGTCGCTTTGCTGGGCATCGCCGAGAAGACTGGAGACACCGACCTGGCTATAGCAGGGCGCGCGCCAAGAGGCAAGCGCTCGCCCAGGCGGCCTCTTCAGCACCGGTGGCCCTGCTGGAGCAGCAGCTGGCGAGGTCCCGAGCGGAACAGGATCGGCTACTTCAGAAGTTGGGCAAGGAGCTCGACAAGCATGACGAGTGGAAGCAGCAGCCCATCGTGTAGGGCAGAGAGTCCACCCCGATAGTAACCACCCCGACACGCGAAGCCGTTTAGTAAACGCACCCAAAGAAGGAATCAAACAGGGCAGGGCTGTTTAGTAAACGCCGAGGGCCGTTTAGTACACGCCAATTGTCCGGTATGGGTGGTTGTTCTTCCTCCCTTGACATCGAGCACGCCGAGCACACTTGCAAGCTGCGCGAGGAGCTGGCAGAGAGAGAGAGAGAGAGAGACGCACCGCATGCCGAGCCGGCTGGCCGGCCTGCCCACGAGGCCCAGCCTGCGCCTGGCAGGGCCAAGGCTACCCCCAAGGTGCGCCTGGAGGACCTGGCTTCAAGGGAGGAGAAACCACCCAGACCGGACAATTGGCGCTTACCAAACGGCCCTCGGCGTTTACTGAACAGCCCTGCCCTGTTTGCCAAGTTGTGACTTTTTTGTTTGTTTTTGTTTTTTGCGGAATGTGTTTTAACATTCTGCCCCAAATCCCCCTGTAGGGGGACAATCTTGACCTAACGAGAAGGCCATGGACGAGCACGAGGCCCAGATAGTCCAGGCGGTGAGCCCGACCCGTCGAGTGCAAGGAGCTGCTCCTCCCCCTCCTCCTCCGCCTCCTCCTCCTCCGTCTCCTCCTCCTCCTCCGCCTCCTCCTCCTCCTCCTCCTCCTCCTCCTCCTCCTCCTGTCCGGTGACGGAGGCCGACGGCGACGCCACAGCTTCGGCACCTGCAGGCGACACGGACGGCACCACCGAGCCACCGCCCCGCTCCGAGAGCTGCGACTCTTCGGGCGCCAGCCGGCTGGCACCGCCTCGCGAGCAGCAGCAGGGGAGGACGAGGGCCGCCCTTCTCTCAAGCAGTGGCGAAGCGTCTTGGCTCGCCTACCTATAGCCCTACCGAACAGTGTTCTAAGAACCTTTTGTGGTTTCCACGAAATGTTAAAACATTTCTGGCTGATATTGTCTTGTTTCAACACATCGGGTTTATGTTCTAAGAAGATTGTTTTTGTTCTTAGAACATTTTTGGGTTCTGAGAACATTCCGTGGTAGGACTATAGGAATGCCCGGGACGGTCGGTCCCTGCTCAACTCTCGTCTTGGCAGATCCTCCTCGCTTGTGGCAACACGTGTGCTGACCCGTCGGGCGGGGGAGGCGGCCGAGCGGGGACGGGAACACTGCGCCCCGCGGCCCGAGCCGCGCGCCGATGAACCGTTTCCGTTGCGCTGTCGCTTTGTCAGAGGACGGGCCCGCGGACGCGCTCCTGGCAGAGCCAATGGCAGGCCACGCATTGAGACGAGGGGGCGTGTGGCTCCCGAGAACAAGTGCGCGAGCCGTCGGTGGTTCTGCCCACAGGGTTGTCGGATGTGGTCGCCAGTGGAGGTGTGAGAATTACGAGCAGCTTTCTCCAGGCGCCCACTTGATCATGTGTTGATTCAACGGCAGTGCCGTGGGCCGACATGCAATGTCGGCTGGAGTCGCTTCCGTCGCGTCGATGATCAGATCCAGATAGGCACGCGGGTCACCCATAGCAGCCGCGCCTTGCTGCGAAGGGAAGATTTCAGCTGGTACACCTGCCGCGACTGCTGCTGAACCGATACTGTTGATGCCAGATGGCTTCAGGCGCCGTGTCGACACCCCCCCGCAAAGGGGCCGAGAACCTGTCTCGTCTCTTGAAGGGTACGTATCCAGCTCGTCGCGTGACTGCCACGGCCGCCGCTGCGTCTCATCAGCGACTGGTGGCACAGGCGAGGGAACGAGAGCAGCAGGGAGAAGGGGACGTCAGTCTGTCGTCGGGAGCGGGTGGGTCGGAGGAGGAGGAGGAGGAGGAGGAGGAGGCGACCTTGAGAGCGGTGGCGCGAGAGCTCGCGCGCGCCCCGCCATCTGCTCCGACGAATGCGCCGACTCCGAGTTCGACAAGCACCGCCCGCGGGGGGTGCTGGATCGGATTCGGACTGAAACTGCTCTCCCTCGTTTTTGCTTTCTCCCCGCAGTCGTGGATTCGTGGTGCGCCGGTGCTCCTCCTCCTCCTCCTCCTCCTCCCCTCCTCATCCTCCTCCTCCTCCTCCCTCCTCCTCCTCTTCCTCCTCCTTCCTCCTCCTCCTTCCTCCTCCTCCTCCTCCTCTCCTCCTCCTCCCCCTCCCCCCCTCCTCCTCATCCTCTCCTCTCTCTCTCTCCTCCTTCTCCTCTCCTCTTCCTTCTCCTCGCTTCCCTCCCTCCCTCCCTCCTCCCCCCCTCCCCCCTTTCAACGGGAGGGGAGAGCCGCCGCGCTCTGCCAGCCTCGGGAGCGGCAGGGGGCCTCGCGCGGCAGGGGCGCGTGCGCGCCGAGGGGGGGCGGTCTGGACGGAGGGGGCGCGCTGCGCGCGGGGGGGGGCGCGGCGCCGCGGCGCGCGGGTTCGGTCGGCGGGGGGTGGCTGTCGCCGGGGCATGTCTGGCCAAGGCGCCCAGGGCGAAGGGGGGCCGGGGGGCGGTGGGGGGGGATGGAGGGGGGAAGGGGGGGGGGGCGGACCGGGGAGGGGGGAGGAGGCGGCGAGGGCGAGGGAGGAGGAGTGAGCGAGGAGGAGGGAGTGCAAAGGGGGAGGGGGAGGGGGAGGGGGAGGAAGGGGAGGAGGACAAGTGCAAAGCCAAGACGCGTCAACGATGCTGCAATACCCCCCTCTCGAAGTTTCCTTTTTTCACAGGTCCCTGCAGCGATTTGCTTCATTGCGGGATGTGCACCGTTGGAAGACAGCCGTCAGAGAATCGTCAACCGTGCCAAGAGACCATTACTGGGACTTCAGCGATGCGAATCAAGGTGACTGTTTCGTCCTGACGATCCTGCATCGTGCCAGAACAAATCCCTGGGATTCTTAGCTGCCTTGATACGCCCGTTTTCATACGCAACACGTACCGTGCTCAAAACGTCCGTGTCAATACGCTGCGTGTTGGCTCAACGTACTGGCCCACGTTTCGGCGAACGCATCGCGTCAGACCTACGTTTCAGTCTACGTGTGGAGCTCCGTATCAATACGCTGCGCGTTGCGTGCTGCTTATCGGGGCAACTAAACTGGGACTTCAACACCGTGAATCCACGTGAGCGCTGCGCCCGGACAATATCCGGAGAGAACACGCTATCTGGGATGCCAACCAGAAGTATCATTGAATTGTTCTAAACTTTCTGGTTAAATCGGGCATGCCCCTCTACGGGAGGAATACTGAAAAGTAGTAAAAATAGTCTGGGGACGATGTTTCGATTATTTCTTAATCTTTTTGAGCATCTCGGGGTATTTTTCTTTTTTCGTCCAAGATCCGCCTGTAGGGGGACATGCCCGACCTAACTGTCAGGCGAGTGTGCGTGGCGCTGGGCCGGCAGCCACATTCCGAAAAGGAGCCGCGCCCTACCGACATGTCTTGGGGGATGCGACCGGGAGTGGTAATTCTGAAGGGGGAGGAGGCGGGATGGAGCAGGACGAGGAGAAGGAGGGATGCGGGGTGAGGCAAGTGTGGCGCGGAGGAAGAGGAGGAGGATGACGATGACGATGGGGATGAGGAGGAGGAGGAGAAGAAGGAGGACGAGGAGGGGGGAGAAGCAGAGACGGGTGTGATGCTGATGATGGTGATGATGGTGATGATGCTGCTGATGATGATGACGACGGCAATGACAATGA